TGGACCAGAACACCCGAGGACAGGTGGACCAGAACACCCGAGGACAGGTGGACCAGAACACCCGAGGACAGATGGACCAGAACACCTGAAGACAGGTGGACCAGAACATCTGTTCTTGGACCACACAGAAGTAGAAGTTCAGACTCACTTCATGCACCTTAAATAAATTTGATCAAATTAAATTGTACGTTTCAGTGTGTAGTCACATAACTGAAGGCTGAGTATGTGGTTGATACTAAACGTCCCTCAGACGACGGTCAGGAGTGACAGGACTCACTCCACCGCTCACTCTTCTTACGGATCGTACGGACCTGCAGCTCAAGAGACGAACCGCAGCTCCGTCCTAGGACGGACTACTGTGACGCGTCAATTCTCTACAAATGATCACGGAACCTCGAGGGACGTCTCTGCATCACATCTGCATCACATCTGCATCAAAGCTGCGAGATCCGCTTGTGATACGTGTTTTTAATGCCGCGTGTTCTGCAGCCAGCAGAACCTCTTCAACATGAAAGCTTCCTGCGAGGAGTCGGAGCCGTTTGGAAATGAAAGGGAAAGATACATGCTTCTATGGCTGCGTGAGGAAGATGATGATGGCCCTTCCACCTCTTAGAAAGATGCCCTTTTTTTTTTTTTTACTTGGTGAAGTGGTTCGATTCCCGTTTGGACTGATCATGGTTCTGGTCTCCACCAACTAATCACAGAAGTTTTGATGGGCGTTAAACATTATTGTCGTCCTGGTTCAAGTGTCGCCACGAGGAACAACTCTTCGAGGTCCTGCTGAGGCCACACATCTGGTTCTGATCCACTTCCCGACACTCTGCTCCATCAGCAACTTCTTTACTTTTTGTTTTTTAATGTAAGGGATGCTGCTGACACCAGTGCTGCTTAAATCACAGCGTCTCTGTACGTCTGAACTTCGCAAAACACAAAACGCACATATTGTTTTTCAACTCTTTCAAAGTAGTGTGACTTTGCTGCCGTTGTACATTTAGTTCAGTTCAAAACTCAAGGAGCAATCCACCCATCCATTAGTCAGCTGTCGCTGGTAACGGTTTTATTAAAATATATCCACTGGTTCATGAGGTATTTTGCTGACAGACTTGCATAAAAAACAAACAAACAAACAAAAAAAAACCAGACACAAGCAATTACACAATTGTCTGTTTTATGGTACTCGGGGATAAATATTCAGAGTGCCTCGTCAGCAGAAGTGTGATTAGACACACAAGGAGCATTTATAATTCAAAACACAAAGGACCGAGTATAGAGCTCTGAGGTTCCCCACAGATCAGA